AAAAAAAAAAAAAAGAAGAAAAAAAAAAGCGTCAAATTGGTGTGCTTTAGGCAGGATTTCGCGTATGACCAGCTTCTCGTCTGTGTTGTCTTCTGGAACAACGAGATCCATTGAATGACCCCAAGGGGTATCATTACTGGTGTGGATCTCCTTCATCATTTTGCTTGTTCTATGTAGCTATTCGAGTAGACCCTTACTTCTTTTTGGCCTTCAACAATTTCTGCTTAGCTTCTTCTTCGGCCCTGCAAGAAACATGGGACGGATCAGAGGTATGAGCAAAGGAAAAGGGAGTAACACACGGGAGCAAGTAAAAAGGTACATATATATGTAAGGCACATGAGCATGTCATAGTGTATCCACACTGAAATGTCATTCCCAATGTCACAAGCATCTGTTGGAAGACATTATTGAATAAAATTATATTGCCACTGTAGCGTAGTCTACACTATGTCTTCACTCGTGCCGCGAATGAGATGCGGTGGAGAGTTGCTGGCGTACTTTTTCTTCTCGGCCATTTCCTTTTTAAAAGCTTTTTCTTCTTCCGTCATTTCGACGGGACCCTTCTTGGCGGCCTTCAGGGGCTTCTTCTTTCCTCCCTGCTCCAGGAAAAAAAAAAAAAAAAAAGGTACACAATGGGGTTAGAAAAAGGTATGCACGTAATGTACGTCCGTGTGAACGGTTGCTCTTCCCAGTTTTGTCAGTTCAGTAACCCCTTGCGTGGCAACTCAGAGCGAAAATTAACCTGTACGTTTAATGGCATTCTGGGGGAAATACTTCGGAAGGGAAACAAAATGCGAACAGAAAGACCAAGACGAAAAATAAATCTGAAGAGAAAAATATCTTCGTACTGAAATATTTTAAAAGGGAGTGTTTATTTTTACGTCGCAATGCTCTGCTTTTTCTCTTTATTTTATTATATTTTTTCTTTTTTTTTTTATGGTGCTGCTGCCTTCGATTAAAGGTTTAACACGAAAATACTTATATGTGACCGGAAAGGGGAAAAATGCTTGGAAAATAAAAAAAAAAAAAAATTTTGTGCGCATTCTGGGGGGAAATATGTGGGTGCCTTGGCAATTGCATAACTGTTTTATGTTATTTTTTTTTGTGGTGAAGCGGCGGGAAGAAGGGAATTCCACAGTTCTCGTTGAATACGCTTTTATACATTTGTGTTTTATCGGTACATATGAATAACCATATATGAAGGTGTATTATCCATTTTGCGTCGCATCGCATGCATTTGTAATTATGGGTAAGCCTCGCTGAACCTTTCCACCAAAAAATATACACTAGCCTTATGGACGTTTCGCCCCTTTACCCCTTTCACACTTCTTCACCCATTCACGGCTTCGCCACGTTTTTATTTTATTTCGTTTTTTTTATGTTTCCTAGAAAGAAAAAAAGTGAACCTAGGCAAAATTGCACATACAAGAATGAGAAAATTTATTTTTTTTTAAGTGGCGCATAAGAAGTAGTACATACGATTTTTATTTATGCTAAGTTTTCTGTTCATCTAGCCGCTTAACCATTGGAAGGTATGCCTTCCCGTGGTCACCCCCTGTGGGAATTCCCACCACTGTGTATGTATTGACGTGTGTACTGGAGGAAGTACTTCCCTAGACACTCGCACAACTGCTCTCTAACAAAGCACTTATGATCCGCGCATGATTTGCGAACATACCTTTTTTGTACGTGTCGAATCGCAGAGGGACACCCTCAAAAAAAAATAAACACAGTTATCTTAACGCATCTACATAATAACCGCCTCAGAGGAAGAAAAAACGATACTGTGAAGGGGGCACATACCCCACATGTGTGCACGTACAGATGTACCTATGTACCTGTGTCTACCTGTGTGTAACCATTTTCCTACCGCTGTGTACCCATATTGGCATAAGCCGAAGCGCCCGTACGTTCACGAATAAACAAGTATGACATATGCCCACACAGTATGAACATGCATGATGCGCGTGCCCTTTTGATTTTTTTTTTTTTTTAAAGAGGCAACACCTTTGCTCATTATATCCACTCGCCATTCGTGCGAAATGTAGACACCCAAAGTTACATTGCACTTGTGAAGTACCTGGGTTGTGCCCCTTGTCAGGACTTCCCACAGCCAGGTTCCTCCACATTGCCGCCGTTCATTTTTTTTTTTTTTTTTTTTGATTTATTTCACTCATTTGCACGAAAAAGTGTACACATTAGTGCTGACCCCCCTGGCCCACATGTAACCGTCCCCCCAAGCGAGCAATTATGAACGCACAAACAACAGAAGTAACAACTGCAGCAATAATATGAAAGCTCCTGTAAAAAAGGCAAAGGAGGAAAGGGGCTACTACAGCTGCGTAGATTTCGAAAATT